TGCACTCGCGCTGTAGAACCACCAGCACTGGGAGAGTCTTCCAGAAGAACAATGACACACTCGCTCGTTGAAAACTTCAACACTTTTCAGAGACATCGACACCGATCGGCTCAGAAGCGAAAGACAAATGGTGCATGCATCCACTTCCGTATTTATACCCGCGCTGCGGGGCGGAGCGAGATGCAAAGCTACCACGCCAATGTGCATTGGCTCATTTTATCAATACTCGAAGATGACAGGCTCCCTAAGCGTGATCCCAATCAGTCGACACGTCGACTACGTCAAACATGAGCGACTGAAAGGGAACCCAATAGATCTTGATATTGCTTAATTTATTTTGGAAATACCCAATGAGGGTATGTTGTAAACAGCGCTATTATAATCAGAATTTGAGCTCTATCCTCAAGTCTGAACAGAAGAAATGCTAAAAGCGGCGTGATTTAGAATAAAGCAGCACCTTCGAGAGTTCTGGGCAAAGGATTACAGTTGTTATTGTGCTGCGGAGCCCCGTTATTTGGGGAGTCGAAACGCAGCCAGATCCAGCGCACTCCAGCGGGGAAGTGCATCCCCAGAACTCTGACTTAATGGGCCGTACTGTACACCACCTCGCTGTGAAGTGGGATTTGGGGGTCAGCATGTGGAAAAACCCACCGTAAATCAATAGCATCTGAAACAGCCAGGAGGACTCGCAGGCAGCACTCCGCTCTCTCGAAGCTTGAAGATGAGACTTTATTCAAAAAATAATAGCCAGTCTGTTTACTGCGCCACGAGATGGATTACATGGCACTGAAATAAATACTTCCAGATGCGGCTCAACAGAAATTATACTGAAGGAGAGGGGGGAGAAGAAAAAAAACGACTCCATAAATCTAGAGAGAGAAATAGCAAAGCGTTTTCTGGCACCAAACGCTCAGCTTCATGCTTCTAATGGCATAGTATTTTTATATCAATGCTTCAACAAATAAGAAAAGATAGGCCGCCATTGCCAACACTTTGGCGTAAAATAAAAACAAATACAGTTCTTTGTGTTCAAGGCTCATAATCCAGGAAGTTGGACATTACTGTAGAGTGCTGTTCTTTCTCTGATAAACGTATTTTAAAGACAAATATTACGCTTTACTTCAAATGGCGCCAGTACTTGGGCTGTATTTCTGCACTGGGAGGTTTGAATATCATTTCGATAAAATATTGCCTCTTTGGAAGACTACCGTATGCCGTTTTCCCATTCCAACTGACCCACTTCTGTAGGACTCTGCCAGTACGACCGTTCACTTGACGTCCACAAAGCAATTTCATGGAGTAATAACAAGCTATTCAAACCACAGGGAAAAATGTCTCTACTTGTAAATGTGTAATTGTTAGGGAAGGTTTTCAATGGCTCTGTAGACACTGAGCGCAGGAACTGGCGTCTGATGCCAACACGAGGGACGCAACTGGAATTCAGGGATGTAAAACCTGGTCCAATGGGCCGTTTATAGTGCAGCATTTATGAGGCATTGAAAAGGGCACAGAAACAGAGAGTTCTTTGGATGTCAGCAGCCCAGTACAAGATGTCCATCCTCAGATATAGAGACGATGGGGCAATAAACAAGAGAGGAGACGTATCACTCCCCCATTTGTTGTCTCTGGCAAAAAGACTTACGTAAAGCGAGACCGGTGGAAACTGTAAGTAAGGCACAAAATATTGCTGTCACAGCAATTTCTAAACATGCATAAGGGCCAATGAAATTTTAACAGATCTAGCAATGACTAACGTATCTCTAGCTCTTTAGGATACACTTTTGTGTTGTCTGAAGCTTTTGTTAAGGCAAGATTTACTATTTCTATCACTATTAACCTAAAACAACCATGCACCACAACATAGCAACATGCTAAACTACTTAAAAAACCTTAGTAACCACCCAGAACCCACTAGTAACATCCTAGCAATGCACTGGGAAAAACTGCCCATCAAACTACCTTAGTAATGGCATAGCAACGCCCCAAAAATCAGCTAGAACTTCCTAGTAACTGCATAGTTACACACTAAAAAGGACCCAGAACACCCAGCAATCACATAGCAACGTGCTAAGTAAAAACACTCAAAACACCAAAGCAACAATGCTCTAACAACCAATTAGAACACCTAGCAACCACATAACAATTTACTTAAAACCACCATGAACACCTTAGCAACCACCTAGTGACCACCCAAAACCCCTTGCCTAGCAACACCTTAGAAACCACATAGAATTGTGCTAAAGAATTACCCAAAACACAATTGTAACTGCATAGCAACACCATAGCAAATGTAGTAAAAAACCCTCAAACCTCCTCAGCAGTGGCATAAAAAAAACAGCCAGAGGAGCCTATCAACCATATAGCAACAAACTAAAAGCCACCCAGAACACATTAGGCAAGGCAAGGCAAGGCAATAAACTAAAAAACCTCCAAGAACACATTAGCGACCACATAGTAACACCCTAGATACCAAATTGCAATGTGCTAAAAACTACTTGAAAACACTACAGCAAACTCATCATAGCAGTGAGTTTCACATGGGTTTTTTCTGAGTTGCTTAAGAAAATATAAAAATTGAGTTCTAATTATAAAAAAGCAGTGATACATACCATGCTTTATAATTCACCACAATGTATAAGAAGAAAATCTTACTTTTAGGTATTTGGTATTTTTAACAAATGCAACGCTTTGAAAATGACTGACGTGAATTTCAGTGTACTAAAATTAAATCCCTGCAGATATTACACTTACACGTTATGTACTCGTGATACTATAAAGCACTAGAAAGTTCTCCTCGCCTGCCTCACATTAGCAGGTAAAATTAAGCATCAGAAAAGGATGTTTTCACCAGGCATCTTCAAAACTGGCAGAAACAAACACAAAAGGAAAAACAATTCCATCTGATGAGCCGATTTTCCACAACAGCAGACTCTGGAATCAAATAAAAGTATACTTCTTCTTGGCCTGTGACTTACTGTCCTTGCGGACGGGGGAGGTAATCGCGTTGCCCTGTGCGTGAGTGTAATCTAATGATCTCTGAATGATTCTAGGTCTTGCGTTACCCTCTTAATTCAATTTCAAAGTTAATAATCTCACAATGACATGATTTTGGTAATTTGAGGCCGATAAAGCCTCCAACAACAGTCACTGGGGCAGACATTTAAATTACATAATGCTACACATCCACAATGGTGAAACTTGAGTGAAAGCGAACCGTTTCCAGATTGGCTATTTCTCTTCGTTTCAAGCTGGGGGAGTGTTGAGAATCTCATATGCATTTGAAGTAACGTCGACTTAACTGTTGGCTCATATGTACAGCGCAATCTGGGACGTGACCGCACCACCGAACGGCCCAATAGATAACCGTACACGTTAATGAGAAATTGCCTCACGTCTGTCAGCGACCCCATATACGCTCGACCTTCCAAACAAGGGCTTACTTCTACTTTTTTTTTTTTAAAGACCAGAGTGAAAATTGCTTATTGGTGCAATTAATCATGGGTTTAAACTGGCTCCAGTCGCAATAAAACCAAGCCAATTACATGATAACTCCGTTCTGACGGCACTCACTCAGTCACTCGCATCCCCCCGTCTAATTATTCCAGTGCCATTCCCAGTAAGGAGCTGAGATTTACTCATCAAAGGCGAACGCAAGTGGCACTAGAGAACATCTGGAAGTCTTCACTCAGCATCATACCCTGGAAAACCATATAACACCTGTTTTATATATTAAACAATACACTGCGTCCCTGAGCAACTCCCAGTTTCCTACAGTTATACATGTCGGCTTCGTGTTTATGCCATGGAAATGGCCCTATCCAGTCACAGTTGTCCTGCGTTGCTTGGTGACACTGAAACTGTAGGACTTTTAAGTTCATTTAGAGATGTAATAAGAAAGTGCTTCGATCACACTTTGGTTTGCAAAGGCCTCTTCAACAGCAGAGCAATTCTTACTGAATATTTGGCCAAACAACATGGAAGAGACATGACGGAAAGATGTAATAAGAAAGTGCTTCGATCACACTTTGGTTTGCAAAGGCCTCTTCAACAGCAGAGCAATTCTTACTGAATATTTGGCCAAACAACATGGAAGAGACATGACGGAAATATCCCAGGATGTTGTGCATTTCCATGGAGGTCCTTTGGTAAAACACGAGTTAAATCTGCTGTAAAATGAAATAAAATTGGAATGCCATGCCAGCAGCTGATGGTATTACCATGCCAAGAGCTGTGTTGTACATTTTGTACCATTTACACAGTTGTATGAATACAATATAACCAAAGAAAATTAAATTGAATTGCAAGAGGTTTTGCGTGTTCTTGAAGGATCTTATTAAACAAGTCCTCAAGAGATCTTATAAAAGGAAATCGTTGTCTACTTGCATTAAACGCAGAGCAGCCCATGATCTAGTGCGTTGCTATTTGATAACTGTATTACATCATAATGAAAAGTAACAAATGTCAGTTTTTAAAAGAAAAAACAGCCCTGCAGAACAGATTTCGCCAGGTCTTCTGGCAGGCTGTTGGCTCGGGAACGATCAAGTAGGCCGTCAGTGGTAAATTGCTCATTACCTGTGAATTGCAGATTGACCACAATAGCAAAAGCCTCCAAATTGGCTGTGAGAAACCCTCCAAAAGCCATTTCTCAAATGCAGACTAGCACTTAAGACTCCCACACTTCTGCGCCTGATGGAAAATTATAACTCGCAGTCGGCGAGCTGCAAAGTCGCATACGTAAGTGCGCGGAATAAGCAGGCATTTCTCAGCTGTAAACAGGACTTACGGAAAACAAAACAAAATTAAATCTCCTTTGTATTTCCAAAAAGGATCGAAATTCCGCTTATTTAATTCTCCAGTAGAATTATGTGACTTTTATGAGGAAAATTACACTAACCACAAATTGCGCTAAACAATTCCAATACTTTAGGGCTTGACCACTTTAAAATGGGGCTGCGCTGCGATTATAAATATAACTCTTTTACGGCTCTGTTATTACGTAC